AGTGTTGTTGAAATCCATAGCTTTAAATTGATCGAAAATGTTTGATGTGAAACTTTCTTATCGGATACCACTTTAGCTTCAATTAATATCCGGAAACTTTTTCGAGAACACGAATATTTTGAAAATTCTCGTCGTGATATTATAAGTGATATTATAAGTGTTGATTCCACACCAGTGATTTTTATACAGTTGAATAGTGTTTTTCTACTCACATAACTAAGATGGCATTTAGCGTACGAATATGTACCACGCTAAATGATCGATTAATCACGGATTCACCATCTGTGATTTATTCAAAATATTAAACACGTTACCATGGCAACACGATTTCTTAAACACATTACCATGGCAACGCAGTTCATTAAACCTAGCTTCAGTAATTTGAGACATGTCTGGCCTGTCAATCGTATTAACTGTCAACTGTTATTTTCGAATTTTGTATCAGAATTATTCGAACAATATTCGTTTGTATCAGAATTCATCATTAAAAATATATGCGAAAAGTAGACGAAAGTGAAATCGAAGAAAATGTTCTGGTACTTGCATATCTCCAAGCAGTGTAAAAATGAAGCATCTATCTTTGAGAACAATTTATTTATTCTGCGCTAAGCATGACAATAAACGTAAAACGAAGGTTAGTAAGCAATGGACTGGACACATCTACAACCAATATCACTTATACGTGTCTCGCTGGTTGCATGCAGTTGCATGCATTATGTTCTCAATTCCCATTCCTTTCGAATTATTTTCTAGGTTAGCAGGAATTGCAGGTATGGTAATGTAATTTTCGGAGTTCGTAGAAAAATCATAGTATGTAACGCGTTTATAAACTCTTCTAGACACTCGTTTATTAAACACTCGCTCCGCTCTGCTCCGCTCGTGCTTAAACTACTCGTTACTAAAAGGACGTTTATAACACTTGTTACATAATATAATATTATTTACTTAAATTTACTTTCATTTCATTTTGTTTTGTCCTCTTCTATTACCCACTCATTTCATTTATAGCTTGAATTTATGAATTATCCTGTATTTTTCGTGATGCTAGAGCATACTTGAATAATAATCTCGACATACCGGTGTTCTTTTGTCGTCGAGATGAGTGTCATTTACTCTAGTACGTCTTATGTTTTCTAGTTCCTTTTTTCCATTATACATCAAAATGGCTGGCTAAAACGCAGTTTTTTTCGCGTTGGATGTGAAAGGAGAATACAAAAAGTGGCGGCCTTTGATGCATTTATACACCTATATCACGGTGCTTTATTTCGTTTCGTATGGATGATGTTTTGTTCTTCACTGTTCTCCAAGTGCTGTGTGAATGAGACAATTCATATGAAGAAATCTGATCCGGGAATTGAGAAGATACAGGGTTTGAATATCGATGTGTCTATTTGATTATACTCAGAATTCTTTCTAGAAACCAACACCTCGAAAATGTTGAGGGTGTCTCATTTTAAATTACAAATTAGGGGTTATTTCTTCTCGAACCATCGAAGATCGTAGAGAAGCATATAGTATTTGATGGAGACTATGACTTATCTGTATAGTATTAAGTTTTCACCTGGTTAACTTGAAAAAATATGCTTCAACAAATTCAATAGATAGCTCCTATCTGTGTACTTCAAAGTAGATGATATGAATCATATTGAAACTGTGATCTCTTCAATCTCGTTTCCATATAATTCCCCACCCATGAATACGAGTCAAACAAGTAGTATATCTGCCAATTTCTTGGCATCTTGGCACATGAATTTATCTCCAGACCTCATTTTTATGATCGACGAATTCCTATTTGACCGGCATTCAACTATCTAGATAACGTTTTATGTCGTTTGCGATTGAAAGCGATTTCCAGGGAATCCAATCTGAATATTTCCGTCACTTTTATGGTGAGCACAGATAATGAAAATTGTTGAATCGAATCGACTGACCTACATTATCGATACTATCACAATACGTCTGTCAGTTCATAAAGAATTATCATCAATTCCTCTATAGATGTTCTAGATTTTCTCTCATATAAGAATTATTTTTTAAACCTGTAAAGTAAGGATACTTCAATGGCCTTTATTTCTGTGGTCCTTACTTTGGGGCTTGTTGGGACAGAGACTACTCTAGTACTTGTCGGGGAGGTCTCGGGCGCCAGATTTTTTATGAGGTGGTTTTATCCACTTGCTCTGCACGAAGCTATTTTTGTACAGGGGCCCAAAGTAGCAACAGTGCCTAGTTGCCTACTTGCCTACGTCACCCATTCATGGCAATCTTCAATAGAAAAACACGGGGAATCTCTAGCTGTCGCGTTGGACATATCGAAAGCATTCTATCGTGTTTGGCACGAAGGACTACTCCACAAACTACCATCATACGGCTCACCACCTCAGCTATGCCATCTCTTATCGAGTTTTCTTTCAGGCAGATCACTTCACGTGGTGGTGGACGGTGTATAGTCTGATACCATTGGCATCAATTCCGGCGTTCCACAAGGATAAATTTTGGCACCAACATTATTCCTGCGTCATATTAATGATCTGTTGGGAGTAACAACTTGCCCCATCTACAGCTTTGCAGATGATAGTACCCTCCATACTGCGTTCTCTTCCAGAATTCCCATTTCTTCCCAGGAAACTAAGAACTCACCGGCGCAGGCAGGTCAATGCTGTCAATGAAGATCTTGCTGAAATCACAGTCTGGGGAACAAACAACCTAGTTGAATTCAACGCCACCAAAACTCAAGCCTGCATTTTCTCTAGAAAGGCGGAACTCAGTATGCCCGATATTGTAATGTCTGGCTCCACCATGCCCACCAAGCCCACCATATCTATGCTCGGTATTTCCATCAGCAACACTGTTTCATGGGATAATCATGTCAGATCCATCGTAAAAGCTGCTTCACAAAACCTCGGATTCTTGTTCCGTGCGAAAAGCTACTTTACACCTCAACAGCTTCTCATGATCTACAAAGCGCAGATACGGCCTGTTCTAGAATACTGTTTCCACATATGGGGTTCAGCACCAAAACATACGCTGATGCTCTTAGATTCCATCCAGAGAAGAGCCATTCGCCTGGTGGGTGACGCCACACTCACTCACTCTTTGACATCATTGGAACACCGTAGAAAGGTCGGCGACCTTTCACTATTCTATCGATACTTCCACGGGAAATGTTCTTCGGAAATCTCTGCTATCATCCCTTCACTAGCAATACCAATCAGACGAACTAGACAAGCCCAGTCAGCACATCCTTTCGTTGTCAACCTCGAAAGATGTCGAACAGCACTTTGTCAAGACTCCTTCATCCATAGAACGGCTAGGCTCTGGAATTCATTGCCTGTGGAAGTATTCCCAACAACATATAATCTCCAAAAATTCAAAAAAAATTCCAATACCTACCTCCTGTCCCTGTGAAGACATGTACAGGAGGTATACCTACCTCGGTACCGAGAGTATAAACCAGGGGTCAATGTTATTGAATCGACCTGGAATCAAGAAGCCAAGGGAGTATGGACTCTAATTACAAACCCTGGGTTCAGCCTGGAATACTGGTTGTTATCTTTATGTTGGATAGTTACAGGAACCAAACAGAAAACCAAGTTTTTGAGATGCACTTTTCGCAATTGATCTCATGTCATTTCCCCAAGAAGGGTAATTGCTGATAGTAATACCAAGCATCGAAATGGATACCTTCAAAGGTATGGTTACTCCTGACAAGCTCATGTTGGACACAGGGAGATCAGTTTTTCTAGATAAAAGATATGCTTGTGTTTTGTTTGCATTGAAATCTACCAAGTTATTGGATCCCCATTCGAGTACTAGAAATAGTACCATTGTACTAGCAGGATCATCCCTGCAGCAATATCGGAACATTACCCTCCTCTCGTGTTTGATAATTGCACTCTGATTCTGGGATGAGCAAAAGGGTCGACCTCCCGGCCATCTCTCTTACACGCCTATGCCATCTTCAGCATCCGTTTTGCTCTCAACGAATTTGAATAATTGTAAACGTCCGCCGAATCGCACTCTTCCACCGCTCGCACTTTTAATGACATTGCTAAATCGTTTTAATCCGCCCTGTAACGAGCCCCAGCACAGCGCCATCTGCGCCACAAAAGTAAGAAGTTTTCCTTCTAGCCGGTTCGAACATTGTTGTTTAGCAATTACGGGTCGGATTTAAGGGCCTGCCTTCAATTATTTTTATAGTGTCAGGTCGGAAAGTGCCATTGTTTGCCACAAGGAATTGGCTAATTTATTGTGCCCTTAGAGGTCGGGAAAATTACCTCTCGCTCAGGCTAATTATTATTCAGTCGATGGGAAATACTCTCTATCGACTCTGGAAACTCGATGGGGAAGTTCCTAATATTGAGATTTTCATCTCTCTGTGAAGTTTGTATGTTGTCATAACTTTGGATTGGATCAACCAATTTTCAATTTCTTTCAAGATTCTGATAGCTCATTTCATTGAGTAAAACGTCAGTACTTTTTTGTTATCATACCTCCTCGACATGGAGACCTACAGGGTGATATCTGAAAATGTGATAATTTTCGAAAAGTTTGGGATCACCCCGTTTCACCGGGATTTTTTTCATTTAACTAGTATAAAATGAAGCACAATGAGTTTTCCCGAAGTGACGTTGAATTCAAGAGGATTTATGCAGGGTGTTTCGTTGTATGGATTTTTTCACATTACATTGCAATTTTTGGCAAGTTTAAGATCGCCCCGTTTGGCAGGGATTTTTATTATGTTTCATTGAGGGCGATAAGATGGAGCATAATGAGTTTTCTCGTAATGCTTTCCGATTCTGGAAGATCCATACAGGAAGTTGTGATATATGAAGTATTTCACAATATATCATAAACTCAACTTCAACAGAACTTTAGATTAGCTTATCCTGCTCAACGCTATCACTATATACAAAAATACCGGACATCATCGAATTTGGACCCCTATGGGAATTTGTACACTTCAACATTAACATTTCCTCTAATAAGACGGTAAAACAAACCTGAATCTGAATCATTACTGGATCTCTTCCTTTCGAGGAACCAATCTCTTTTTGCACTCCGGCCAAACATTTTTCAGATTCATTTTCCAAGTGTGAAACGATTGAAGTATCACCAGAGGTGTTCATTATCTCAAGATGAACTAAATTCTTCGCCTCTCTATGCATATAAGCATGAAGACAATATGGGAACAGTATTCCAGGACAGGTCGACTCTGTGCCTTATAGATCATAAGCAGCTGACTGGAAGTGAAATAACTCCTGGCTCGAAACAGAAAACCAAGTTTTTGGGTTGCACTTTTAGCAATTGATCTCACGTGATTTTCCCAAGAAAGGTTATGGCTGATAGTAAACCCAAGCATCGAAATGGATGTCTTCAAAGGTATGGTTACTCCTCACAAGCTTATGTTGGGCAGAGTGAGATCGGATTTTCTAGAGAAAAGGCATGCTTGTGTTTCGTGTGCCTTGAAATCAATCAAGTTATTGAATCCCCATTCGATGATGAAGGTTTTATGTGAATATATTCAAAACCCTCTATGATGAAATAGTCAAATTTTGTACATGTAGCTAGCTTGTAATCCTCCATATGGAAGAATAGACGATTGAATGGACATTTGACATTACACCGTAGAGACCACCAAGCAGACTCAACAATGCATAATCAATATTATATGTCATCAGAGGTCTGTGGTGATTATCACACCATGTTCGAGGAAAATATTTTACGTGTCATCACCAAATTTGAACGTTATCTTGACGTCAGTTCGACGTCACAGTTTGGTGACTGAATATGTCAATAAACGTGAGTAATATGACGTCATTGGGCTGTGACTTATTCACGTCATACGACCTCAACTCCTGACGTCACCTTGGTCATTCAACTGACGTAAAAATACGTCACTGAATCGACATCTGGTTGCCTGGGTTGTACTTGCTCTGTGCTAGTGCGTTTTGTAAATCGGCGAGTGGAAAACGCTATGATTCTCATGCAAAAACAATAGGAATAAACCATTCCGATTCGCGAAAAACCTCCCTCCACATATTATCATAAATACTGGCGGGGTCTGAGTGGAATATTGATTGATTGATTAATAGCAGAATGATCAGTCAGGGTTTGAAGCCCAAAACACTGCAGCCTCTGGACCTATTGTATTCCTGATCATGCTGTTGACTTAGGTGAACAGGTTCGCTACCTTGATGAGGTTTAGCAGCCGCTTCACCAAATCATTCTTTGAAAATGCCTCTGCAGAGTTTACTGCTCCCAGAAGGTTGTATCTCCAACGCGCTAGTGCTTCGCACTCCAATATTACATGGGTGGCAGTTTCCTCCTCCTCATTGCATAGTCTGCATATGGGTTCGTCTGTATAGATGCCCATTTGATGCATATGTTTCCTCAAGGGGCAGTGACCGGTTATTAGTCCCGTCACTTGTTTGATCTGACTTCTGTTTAGGCTCAGAATGTCGTTAGTCACTGTTTTGGACAGTGTTCCAACCATCAGTTTACTGTGTCTTTGTCCTGGGACATTGTTCCAGTATGCCTGATGTCTTTCTTGCATCCACCTTGCCAGTCAGCTGCTTCATTGCCTTCAATTCCCTTATGCCCTGGCATCCATTGAAGAGTTACCTTGTTGTGGTTAGCCAGGGTTAGCAGGCTTTGAAGGCAATCCCAGACCAGTTTTGATCTGATTTTATTGCATGTTAAAGATTGAATGGCCGCCTGACTATCTGAGCATATGAGGATTTGTTTACCTCTATATCCTCTTACAATATTCTCTCTCAGGCATGCCTCAATAGCATGCACCTCTGCCTGGAATACTGAAGCATACCTCCCCAAGGAAGCACACATCCTGGTTCTGGGTCTATCTCCATATATTCCGGCTCCCGTGCCCCAATCAGTCTTAGAACCGTCAGTGTACTACACTAACGTGCCTTCCTGACAGTTAGTCAAGACCATTTCATCCCAGTAGAGCTGAGTGTTGAAGAGTCTGTAATAGTTATTTCTAGGCAGCATTTTGTCCCTTTCCATATCCATTAGTCTGAGTGGAATATACTCATGAAAAGTATAAATATGGCACTGATTCCCATGCAAAAACAATAGGTATGAACCATTCCGATTCGCGAAAAGACTCCCTCTACCTATTATCGTAAATACTGGCGGGGTCTGAATGAAGACTAGCTCCCTGCTCCCTAATTGGGCGCTCGCCTTAATGCGCCCTCAACAATTGAATTAGCATAATTCGGGGGAAAACAAAACCTCGAGGAGCCCTCTACACACCTTGGCCGTTGCACAGAAGGGTTGTTGAAGCCGATAAAAATAATTTCATTCAGAGGGGTAGCTAATAGGCGGCAACTGATCGAGTTTATGAAAAAGGCGGATATTTTTCGCCATGAACATCGATGATTACACCACTGGAGTTGATAATTTCACGAGATAAAGCTATTTTACCAGATATTTGTAGTATATATCAGGTTATATTCAAACATGGCTTACCCCTTCAGTATTGAAGGTAGTAAAATGAAATTCAGGGACTGTGAAGTATAGTTTATTTTACATTTTTTGACACATCTACTTGCTTTTCCGTACTTCCGGTTTGACCGGAAATTACCCCAACTTTCGATTATTCAATGGGACACCCTGTATATCATTTCATAATCGGTTAGGGACGTTCATAACCAATCAATCAATCGATCAAACTTTTATTGAATAAGTTGGTATAATATCTCGGTCAATGAGGAAAAAATCATCATACAGGGAGAGGGGTATTTTTTAGAAATTATAATGTTATTCAGTTTACAGGGTATTGGAATGTAACTTTAACACTTCAACTTTTGGGCAGTTGAAGATGAATCAAATTGATGCCATCTTGCTCAGTGAGTGGTTTTCAGAAGGAAGATCCTGTATTTTCTTCCATGCTTTTGAAAAACATTGCTCATTTTACAAACAGTATACCTAGCGCCATTTTTGAGTTGGAGTTTTGATCACGTCATGTGTTATTTGATTAATTCCAATTCATTCAAGTAAGTGCCTTATAAATTTTGATCGAATGTGACAAAATCTGATATCAATTATCTGCCTATAGTAGTTGAACAGAGAGTGAGGAAAAGCAATGGTGGGTAGTGGAAAGTTCGGAATTTTGATGACCCTGTATTTGTTTCAATTGCATGGCGGTAGATAGTAAATCAAAAGTTGAGATAGGGGCATGTTAGCTTAAGATCACGATTCAATAAACACGAGCACTACCACAAGATATAAGAAAGTCGAATACTAATGAACCAGCATTTGCACATGTCTGTGATAGCTGGTTCGTGACATAAGCGCTAACCCTTCAGTCCCAATAAATGTTGATCCATCATATGAATAAATGGTGTTGGGTTTACCCCTACGAGATACAAATCTCCCCAAGGTTCCAAGAAACGCCTCAGTTGACAAATTTGTTACCAATTCCAAGTGTATTGTTTTGGTGGAGAAACACACAAACAGACACACATAAAATCTTTGCGCGAAGTTTCAGGAAATTAATTCTCTGAGTATAATGAGTACGTATGCAAATATTTGGCTAGTTATAAAAGATTTCATGTTTCAAACCTAATAGTCCCGAGCTATTTCATTAACCGGCACAGCATTTAGGCACTGCCATTACAAACTAGAATTTCATATTTTCCGGGTCTTGTCCCCACATCAGAACACACGGAATAATATAGTGCGGGAGACGAAGGCCTCGCCAAATTCCCTTAACATTGCCGATCTATTAGAGAGAGTGTCTTTAGCTTCAATTAGAAATTCCCTTTGTCTTCGTCTGCTAGCGCCTCTGCCGGTAACGAATAGTTGTTCGAGGGATTTGAGCCAGATTTACCCGGAGGCAAAAATCTCGAAGACACTTTATCAATTATCCAGCAGAGAGGCAGATAGAGAGAGAACGAGAGAGGCTGAGAGAGAATAGAAGATAATGAAAACATTGGTATACAGAGACAGGGTGTGGGTAGTGGGCATTGATTTGTTATCCCAAGGAGACACTAACATCTCATTCATAAATCTACACGGTGAGACAGAATGAGACCGACAAACTTGGTTTACAGTGAGCACGTGAAAAATCCTTCCCCTCTTTTGCTACTTTTGGGCATGGGCATGGGTGATCACGTGGCCTATAGTGTCAAGTAGACACCACATACTTTTGTTTTCAATTGTGGAAATTGGGGGCGTGGTATCTGGTTCTGAAGACCTTTCTATTCTCTATCCCACACCACTTCGTTTTTTTATGTTCTGGTTCCCACGAAAAGGGATATCCTGTGATATTCAGAGAACATCGTGAGAACCAAGGGAAATAAGGTAGAAATTGGTGTTCTACTTAGATTTCTGAAGGTTATATGCCTCAGGGAACACCTCCCTTGGCAATGTGTTCCAGAGCATCGCTGTTCGTTGGATGAACGAGTTTTTGGAAAGAGATGTTCTGCAGGTCTCCGAAGTGACCACGAAGGGGTGCGAAGCCTCAACTCGACGGGTTAATCTCGTGGGCACTGCCAAGGAAGTAACAATTATTGTTGACATTTCACAAGAACATCGTCCATGAAAATATCTATAAAATAGAGCCAGATCGCCAACTCTTCTACGGTGTTCCAGAGAAGTGAGTGAGTTTGTGAGCGAGGCATCACCCACGAGACGAATTGCCCTTTTTTGGACAGAATCCAACAGTTTCAGGGTATGTTTGGGTGCTGCACTCCAAATATGGAAACAGTATTCCAGAACAGATCGGATCTGTGCCTTATAGATCATAAGCAGCTGACTGGAAGTGAAATAGCTCCTGGCCCGAAACAGAAAACCAAGTTTTTGGGATGTACTTTTAGCAATTGAACTCACGTGATTTTCCCAAGATAGGAATACGAAGCATCAAGATGGATGTCTTCAAAGGTTTGGTTACTCCTGATAAGCTCATGTTGGGCACAGTGACATCGGCTTTTCTAGAAAAAGGCATGCTTGTGTTTTGTTTGCATTGAAATCTACCAAAATCTTGGATCCCCATTCGAGAATTGTTGCCAAGTCTATATTTATGTTGTCAACATTTCTTCCTCGTTCGT